TTGACCAACCTATTTGTTTGTCATTTCCATTCAGGCTTTCCATTATGCTTGGGATTAATGTCAATCTCACAGATGTATTATTATCAGAAGGTCCTGTTTGTCTTTGTGGAATATTAGCACAATTTAGTAGTCTTTCTGTCTTCTGGATTTTTCCCAGTATTGAACAATTCATTAAAAATGAATAGCGCTGGGGCTATCATGGAGATGGCCACATGTGGGCAGGGTAAGGTGCCGTGCAAGGGACATGCCTCTCTGCTGGGCGCCACAGAGAGGAATGGCTCTCTATTCTGGAGAGGGTGAAATATTTGCAAAAGTAGCTTCTTCCTGGCGGCTGTGGGAGCTCAAATGAGCAGGGCCTGCCAGTGCTGAGGAAGCAGCATGCTCTGGGGCTCCAAATGTGCCCAGCACCACTGGCCATGTGAGGGTCCACCCTGCCCACCCAGGACAGCAGCATGGGCTGCATGGGGAATGGGGCTGTGGGCAAAAGCCATGGGTGGGGTGGCAACCTGTGTGAGGTGACTGCCTTCCTCACTGAGGGCCTGAACAGGCAGGAGGCATGTGTGTGTTATAAAGGCAAAACAAACAAACAAAAGATTTATTTATGTCACTAGTTTAAAATGCCTTGCACTATTACTAAGTACCTGTTACTGGATTGGCATCAGTTGATATGGTTGGTTAATCATTGACTATCAGTATTGACTTAGAAAATCTTTATTGGTGCACCTGTAATTGGGAGTCTGCCAATTACAAAAAAGAAAAAAAATTATGGAATCATAGAAAATTAGGGTTGGAGGGACTTCAGGAGGGCATCTAGTCCAGCCCCCTGCTCAAAGCAGGACCACCCCAACTAGATCATTCCAGCCAAGGCTTGTCAAGCCAGGCCACAAAAACCTCCAAGATGGAGGTTCCACCACCTCGCTAGGTATTCCAGTGCTTCATCACCCTCAGAGTGAGGAAGTTTTTCCTAATAACCAACCTAAACGTCTCTTTCTTCAACTTGAGATCATTGTTCCTTGTTCTGTCATTTGCCATCACTGAGAACAGTCTTGCTCTATCCTCTTTGTAACCACCTTCCAGGTAGTTAAAGCCTGCCATCAAATCTCACCTCAGTCTTCTCTTCTGCAGACTAAATAAGCCGTGTGCGTGCGTGTGTAGTTTAATTAGAAGCCATATATATAAATAAAATCAGCAGTCTCCCAATAGTCAGGGTACAGCTGATTGAGAAGGTGTTAAACATCTACCAGGAATGTTAAACATCTAAGTGATGCATCCTGGTACATGTTTAATATTATCTTTAGTTACTAACAGCCTGGAAAGTATTTGTACAAGTGAAGCATATCATCCTGCTTCTTTCCAAACAAAGAACAAAAAATACATTTCTGACTTCCCTGCATCATTAGATTTACCATCTTTATTAGAAATGGGATTATAACATTGTTATGGGTTCTGTTCTTCGTAATATACTTAAACTCCTAAATGTCTTCAGCCCTGCCAGACATGGATATCATGACGTTTAATTTAAAACAACTTGCCATTTTGTGTAAGCGCAGACAGTCAAAAAGGCCAAGGCTGAATCGATTCAATCTTCGCAGGCTAGTCAAAGCGGCATAGATTGAACCAATTAGCAAGTGCAAAGACGTTCACTTTTGATTCTGGAAATGCAACCACATGACTGCAGTGGCCCAGGTCAGAACCCAGAGCATGCCTTCCTATGCAGCTATAGCAGAGAGCTTTAGCCAAGATTATCATGCCCACCCTGAGAAGGGGGGAAGGGTTGTGGGGGGGGGGTGTAAAGCATTCTGGAATGCTGGAGAACTGTGAGTTACCATTATACAATATCAACTTTGAAAGCAGTTTATGTGCACTGAAGTTCTGTTCTGTTACAGATTTGAACTGGTGGCCAATCACTTATATTGGTTTATATGAAATTTGTGTCCCTAGCTTTTGTGCACACAGCCCTGTGTTTAATCATATAATCTTATCTCCTATATAACGCAAAGCATAGAACTTCCCCAAATCAATTCATGCCTGAACTAGAGCATCACTTTTAGAAAAACATCCAGTCTTGATTTAAAAGTTGTTGGTGATAGAGCATCCATGTGCCTTTTGTCAGTTGTACAAAAGGTTAATGGCCTTGCTGTTAAAAATGTGCACCTCATTTCTAATCGCATGTATCCTGCTCTAAATTTCCATGACAACTGCTACTTTCTGATCATTTCTGAACCTCAGAGACATTTTTACAAGTTTAGCCAATTATAATATGTGTACTTACAATGTTACTTTCTATTAAAAATTCTCAAATATTATTCAAGAAGAATTGCACTTTATAATCTCGGGAAGGAAAATTTCAAAATCTTTAATATTCAGTAATTTTTCAAGGCTAAATCGCATTGCACTTCATACAAATGGAAAAATCTATTCAGTCAAATTGATAATATATAATTTGAATTTATTTTTTTACTCTATGTCCCAAAGTGCTTCAGAAACTTTATAGGTAGAATGTAGAATCATAAATTGAGTATTCACTTGGGCACAAGAGAAGGGAACCAAATGACTTTGTAAACCAAGTAAAAGAGGCAACATTTTGGTTAGATGCCTGGGAAAACTTCTTCTCTTTAGAAACTGCAATGAATTCTTACAAATAAAATCTAGAAGTACACTATTTCAAAGTTATTCTTGTCTTAGTTCAATGGCTTCTTAATTCAGTCACTGTCCCAATTCTAGTCCTGTTTAAAAGGGATAGTCAAACTGCATGAGAAATCCACTTCGCTGGATCCGTTTAAAATGAAGCTGAACTCTTTAATGCTGATGAGCATCTACTGTAAAAAACAAAAAAAACCTAAGACTACCTACTCATATCAAAAGAAATTCCAAAAAAAATACCAGTAGTTTCATAGTTTCTAGGGTCGGAAGGGACCTGAGTAGATCATCTAGTCTGACCTCCTGCCATGGCAGGAAAGAGTACTGGGGTCAAATGACCCCAGCAAGGTGTACATCTAGCCTCCTTTTAAAGACCTCCAGGGTAGCAGCCAGCACCACTTCTCTTGGAAATTGGTTCCAGATCCTAGCCACCCTGACCATGAAGTAGCGCCTCCTGATATCTAGCTTAAATCTACCCTCTGCCAGCTTGTGACCGTTATTCCTGGTCACTCCTGGTAGTGCTCGGGGGAACAGGGGCTTCCCCAGTGCCTGCTGGTCGCCTCTGACTAGTAGTCTCAATCTGCAATGATTTAGCAATATGCTTTGGAATCCTAGCATGTGAGAAGCACCATGTTTCTTTATGCTTTTATATAAGGAAACAGAGAAGTAGTTAAAAACATTATATTCTATTTAAATATTTCTAGCACTTTTTAAATAATTTAAAAATAAATATTTAAAAGAAATATTCTGCAGCGTAGTAAAACTGACACCTGTATAATCAGAGACTTGCAAGGCAAGCCATACGAGGAAAGGTTGAGGGACCTGGGACTCTTCACCCTAAAAAGGAGAAGGCTGAGAGGGGACTTGGTAGCAGCTTACCACTACATCAGGGGAATATACCAAGGGCTTCGTGAACAACTGTTCCCCAGGTCACCGTTGGGGAAAACCAGGAGTGATAGTCACAAACTCCTGGAAGACTGCTTCAGGCTCAACTCTAAGAATAATTTCTTCACAGTCAGGGTGTCCAGACTGTGCAATAAACTCCCTCCAGAAGTGATACCATCACCTACCCTGGAAATCTTCAAGAGGAGACTGGACGGTCACCTCGGTGGGGTCACCTGACCCCAGCTGTCTTTTCTGCCTAGTGCAGGGGGGCTGGACCCGATGATCTTGCAAGGTCCCTTCCAACCCCTTACAATCTATGAATCTATGAACCAGGAAAAAGCTCCTTGATTTAATAATACTCTATGCTAAGTAGAACATTGTATAAAATCAAAACATATTTGGAAAGAAGCTAAACATTCTTTACAAGGTTAATCCTATTCCTTAGGCAATGAGGGAAGCTCTGAGAATGGCAATACTACTAGACCAGTGTTTCTCAATCAGGGTGCCAGGGCTGCCAGATTTTTTGAAGAGGTATGTGAAGAGAGATGTGAAGTGTTAAGAGATTAGCAGATAAACTAAGTAGATAAGCATAGGCTCAATGTCCCTACTTGGAAGATTTGCCATCGCCACTGCCAGGCCCCTCTGCAAGGAGGTACACAGTTTAATCTATAAATTAGCTTTTGAAATTGGGTGCCACTTAATTCACAGAAGTTATGGGGAACTACTTTAAGTCCAGTGAGGGGTGCTTTGAGGCCTAAAACCTTTAAGAACAACCCTAAAAGTTTGAGAACCACAATACTAGAAATACACAATGCATATTTAGAAGAAAGAGAGAGAGAATGAACAATATGATAACCATCCCATCTGACAAGCCAAACTTGTCATTTGAAGAGCCACATCTTTCTCCAGTACTTAAATATGTAAATCTCCACCTTTGTAGGATTAAAACCCCAGATTTGAAAAGGAAGAGTCTCACTTGAAAACTGAGACGCAAAAGATTGAGAAAATCTTATTACTGAAAATAAACTACCAACCTATCAGCCAGCACAGAAACAGAGCTGTAATGTTAGACTGCCACAGTGTGTTGATACGAGTGTAACAGAAAGGAAGAAATCATATTTAACTGCACATTGCTACCATTATACTGACACAGTGAACTTCAAATCCTGCAAATTACTATGGTAGTTTTTACACACAGCATGTTTTTCAAGAGTTATCAATATCTACCTGTTGTTAATCTCCTATAAACTGACATTGATTAAACAAATTTATAATAGTAGAGGTTACCATTTCTCTCTCCAGTATTACTGACCATACCAACACTTCACACAAAGCTTACAACAGTACATTAACCACCAAAGAACCTAGTGTTGTTGGAACAGGATATTTATTGCAAAATATTTCCTCATTACTGTGTACATCGACTACCGTTACCTTGCATCTAATATTTGTTTTTCCGTTCTGCACTTCTGTAGGATCCAACTTAAAGGACTTACTGGGACAGCAGGCAAAATAAGCAGCATAAGCCAACCAGGAAATGATTTTAGCACAAAGGATGCAGACAATGATAAATGTATTTGCAAATGTTCACAAATGCTAACAGGAGGTAGGGATGATTTCTGTTTCTTGGTCTTCCTATTTTTATTGGCAATGAAACTATTCATGAGACAAACAGTGGTAATTCTGACTTATTAAATACTGAAGAGTAAATCCAAAATTTACAGACTTAGATGCAAGTAGGCAGTTAATTTATATTGGATGCATTACTATTTCAGACTGGTCAGTTAAAGTAAATGTATAGTTAAAATTAAAGGAGTTAAAAATGAAAAGCTATCATTTCTCTCAAACAGTGTCACTACAAGGCCTCCTATTCTGAAACTGCTGGAGAGAAAAAAATAAGAAGATTGTGCTTTCAAGGAATAGAAACATTCCCAAGAAATGCCTAAGAAACCTGACAGGAATTATATTTAAAATCAAAGAAATAATTTCTAATAAGCTTATTTAGATACTAGAAGTTACTAATGATGCTAGGGTTAGAAGTCATTATACTACCTATTGAAAAACAACATTATGTCATCATTGTCACACAAGGTTGAATGTATTCCCACATTTAGATAATTTGAAGTGACAGTATGTAATGGACAAGACATTGTAATTAGTATGTTGGTGAATACATTCTAAATCAATACACTTGGCATCACAAAACTGTAATGTATGTGTGCATTTTATATTGAAAGGTAATAATTTTAAAGCACACTGGTAACTCTCAGATCTGTATTTTCTGCTCTTCTAGGCTGGTGGTTTGATGCATGTGGTCCTTCCAACCTGAATGGAATGTATTATCCATTGCGACAGAACACCAACAAGTTTAATGGCATTAAGTGGTACTACTGGAAAGGGTCAGGCTACTCTCTCAAAGCCACAACTATGATGATCCGACCAGCAGATTTCTAAATGCTTTTGCATTCTACATGAATTGTGTATCATATAATCTTCAAAGACTTCATGTGCCAAACATTTAAACACACAGCTGCAACTTCTCAATTTTCCAGCCCAGAAAACATGCATTAATGTTCTGAAGGATCAATTTGATTCTGATTCTTGAATTGCAATAGCCATCATCAGCTAAAGCTTACATTATTCAGCTAGACACAGCAAAGTCTAAAACATGAAGTAATCTGATATAATAATGATTTGGCAGAACAACTGATTTAAGTAGAAGTTGAGTATAGGAAGGTTACATGAAGAGATGTAGAAATGATTGATTATTGATAGTTTTTATGGCTCAGGTATCAGAACTTTTCTGGAACTAAGGTGAAGCAGAGATTACTATAAAACAAGGAATTATCAA